ACATGTTTGGTCTCCTATTATTATTCAAAAGGAATAGAATATTTTGCTCCTAATAAAACTATTAGAGAAGATGGGTCATTCACATTATTCCCCCCATTACTTCTATGTTTTTGTTTGTTTTTGGCGAGGCAGTTGGGGTTACGTGACTCGCCCAGGGTCACACAGCTAGTAAGTCAAGTGTTTGGTCTGAGACTAGATTTGAACTCAGGTCCCCCTAGAGCTGGTGCTCTATCCACTGTGCCGCCTAGCTGCCCCCTACCCATTACTTCTAAAAGCTATGTGACTTTGGGCAAGACACTTTAAACCCGCTGTGCCTCAGTTTCCCCCTCTGAAAAAGGAGAGGGTTGGATTAGATAGTTGTTCAGGTCCCTTCTAACTCTAAGAAGTGGTCTGCTCTTTCTCATCTTCTTGTCATGCCATTTCCCATGCCTGGAAAGGATACCTCTTGCCACTTTCTTCTAAAGCTTCTCCCTTCCTTTAAGGTCTCACTCAGGTGCCACCTCCTGTAAGCTATTTCTGACTCCTCTCTCCACCCTACCAGGCCAAGCTGGACATAATTATTCCCTATTTACAATTCTTCCCTATTTACAACACTTTGCCTGGACTTCTCTGTTGCTAGCGCTGCATCCTAATTATATGTGTGCCCATCTCTTCTCCCCTGTTAGATTATAAATTCTGATATTGTGTCATTTTTCATCCTTGTACCCTCAGGGCCCTAGCGCCAAGCATTGCATATAGAAAGAATTCAACTATATTCATTGTTGAACTGAATCAAAATGCTTCAGGGCGGTTGGTTAGTGCCCTGCAGATGAGAATGAAAACAAAAATTCAGGTACTTTCATCCTAATATGTCCCAGAAAATTTTGAAGAAATTCAAAAAAGAGCTAGTGTTAGCTGAATGTCTCCTCTCTCTCCTCAACCTGTACGGCACAGAATTGGGGGATACAGTTCAACAGGGCTTCTTGGAACTCCATGCCTGTATCCTTATTATCAGTGGCACATGAAACAAGAGTGAGAATCTCACATCCCACACCCCTACTCCCATCAGAATAGGTCAGTCCAGTCAGTGATCATAGTATGAACATGGAATATTTCCATTTCCCTATTTAATCTCCATCATGGATAGACAGTAGGCATCTTTCAGTCTTTCCTGCATAGGTGAACAATTAAATAGAAGGACAGAAAAACATGCATTTTAATAGCCAAATTAACCCAGTATTTGATTTAGGTCTTTCTCTCTATATGTGATACTCACAAGTGATTCCAAAACTATTTTTTTCTCATCCCAAAGCCATTGTGGGTGGATCCTGGCCTGTGTCACTCAGTATGCCAAGAACTAAGTACAAAGCTTTTCAGATGACTTTTGCTAGGAGACCTAATTCCCAGGAAGTCGTTAAGCCTTGATATATGTTTGTTGGATTAGATTAGATTTTCTTATCTATTTGTAAGTTGATACTGTATTTTAAAGCAATTTTTTCAAGTAATAAGTATTTTTTATTATCTCTCCCTTGATCCCTCTGCCACATTGAGCAAATTAAAAAATAACAACATATATACAACCCCCTCCCAAACAAATCTCTCATTATGTATCTGCATAATCTGGCAAAACAATTTCCCACTTTAGCCTTGTCTGAAAATGTAAAAGAATTTTCAAAAGGAACCTAATTTAGCTCTAAAATTTTTGTTGTTGTTCAGCCATTTTTCAGTCATGTCTAATGTTTCATGACCCCATTTGGGGTTTTCTTGGCAAAAATACTGGAATGGTTTTCCATTTCCTTCTTCAGTTCATTTTGTAGATGAGAAAACTGCATTAAACAGAGTTAAGTGACTTGCCCAGGATCACATAGCTAGTAAGTACCTGAGTCCAGATTTGAACTTGGGAGGATGAGTCTCCAGGCCCAGAATTCTATGCACTGTGCCACCTAGTTGCCCTAAAATTGTAGGTTGTAAATCTGCAACTGAAAAGTCTTTATTTGTTAATTGCATTCATAGATTTAGAGCTGGACAAAGCCTCAGAGGCCTTCTGGTATGACTCCTTCAGTTGACAGATGAGAAAACCCAGGCCTAGGAAGCTTAAGCAACTTGGCCGAGGTCATGCAGCTAGTAAGCATGAGAGGCAGGATTTGAACCCAGGTCTTTTAATTTCCAAGACTGTTTGTTCCCACTAAATTATTCTGCAAACTCTACCCTGCCTCCTGCCCTCCCCTTTTCCTGGCATTTGGGTAGATACTAGAGTGACTTCTTAGAGTGAAGTCCAAGGGGAAAATCTGAGTTTGAAGAAGTTAGATGTGTAGATTTTGTGCATAGCAATTTTGTAGAAAAAGTACCACAAAAACCAATGGTTGGTTTGGGAGTGTGTTGAGCCTGGAACGGTGTGCTTTGTTCTCTATACATTTTACCCTTGCAGAAATGAGTCTGGGGATGCGACTCCCAGAGAAGAAGTATATGTGGTGATGGGAGGGCTTGAGGATCCCTAATGGACATTTTGGAGCACTCAGGCTACCCATGTAGGTAGATGTGCTTCCTGGGTAGGACAGGGTGGACAAGATAGTGCAAAACATAATTGCAGCTGAAGATACATGGAATTTTGGGAGCCCATTGAGTTCAGAAAGGAGCATGCTAACTGAGGAGGCTAACTGAGATGGTTGGGGCTCAGCTTACAGGAAAACAAGCAATAGACCGAGTCACGGACGGCGGAGGAGTCACCGTGGTAGGATTCTGGTGATTGGACTTGAGTTGGTCCTTCAGGTGATTCTGAGGAGAGAGGTTTTGAATTAAGGCTCATGGAGCACACTTGACAAAGTTCTTGCTTCTCTGTGATGTAGGGAAGATGGAAGAGAAATAGTTGAGTCTGTCATTAAAGGGTAGAAATCAGGGGACTAGTTCAACAAACTTCTATCACACGCCTAGTGTAGTAAGTTCAAGGCACAATGAGAATCCTTTCCTTCAAGGACTATCTAAACACCTAACAGATAAATAAAATTACCATCAGTGTAGGAGATTAGGGAAGGCTTGTGGTGGGAGCAGGGGCTCAAATTGATCCTTGAAGGAAGCTAAGGATTCTAATTACCTGAGATGGGAGGGAGGGCATTCCAGGCAATGGCGTTAGCCTATGGAGAGGCGCTACATGAGTCAAGAATGGTTTAGACCAGAGACTGGGAGGACAGCAAAAACGAGGGCTTAAGCTTGGCAGGGGCTTAAAATGCAGTGTTCGTGGAAGGTTGTGAACTTTGCCCTTTTTCCCCCTTCTGTGTATAGTTTGTATTCCAGGAGTCTCTCGCAACATTAGTAAAAAACAAGTGTGTTGGTTACAGATGCTGTACAGTGAACATGAGAGCAGGATGAGCCAAAGCAGAGAAAGGGGAGGGAGGATGTGATTCCCAGAGCTGCCGTCTCTGAAGGAGAAATCCCCCTTTGATGATCCTCCTGGGAGAGGTGGCAATGCAAAGTGGCCCTGGGAGCTGGCCGAGGGAGGCTTTGGTTTAGGGTCTGTCCTTGCCTTGCTTTCTCCCTGCGTGTCCGTGGCTCCAACCTTCCAAGTATTAACAACAGTGGCCTACCTAGATCTTATGTCACGGCTGGAGTTTTGTGGCCTCTCACCATTATAATAGCAATAACTAATGTGTAGAACTCCTATAATAACAATGATAATAATTACTGACATATAGGACTTAGAGAACACTTATAACGGTAACAACAACAATAATAATAACTGACACATGGAACTCACATAGTAATAACTGACATGGAATTTATAGAATAAGATGATGATAACTAATAAAGAAATTGAGAACACCAATAACACCAATACCAATAACAACAGTCAAAATAGCTGACGTATAGCAGTCACAGAAATAGCAATAATGACTGATATACAGAATTCAGAGAATACGAATAGTGATAAGTGACATTTATTTAGAACTTGAAAGTTACCAGATGTGTTGACGCAATGTTTCACTTGAGCTTTACAACTCTGGTAAGGCAGGGACTACAACTTTTAATAATTCCCATTTTACAGAAGGTTGAGTGACTTGCCCAAAGTCACACAGAAAGTAAAAACTTTGAAGCCCAGCCCAGTACTCTAGCATGATACCAAGCTGTCGAGCCAAGCCATTCTTCCTGCTGTTTTCTCTCTCTTCCCTCTTGGTTCCTTCTTCCTGCATACTTTTCAAAGGTCTATTTCCCCACAAAAGACAGTGGGCCATGGCAAATTTAGAAGTCTAACCATGGATGGAAATAACTGGGAAATCTTGTCCCACAGCATCTTCCAATCCTCTGTGCCCATAGTGAGCCCTCCACGAACGTTGTTCTTTGAGTTTCCTCTGGGCTTCTCTCTTATGTTCATTTGTCTCAGTGTTTTCTTCTCTCCACATGCTGGGCCTGAGATGAGATTAAATTTCACTTTCCAACATGCATGAGTAATGGCTGCCCAAATCACATCAGCCATTAAAGAAGAAACCAGTCCTATTTATGTGATGCTTCAGAAGAGCACATTAAGCTGAAATACATGCAAAAAAACTCACCAGTTATTGCCCTTATGAAATATGCTATTGCCTTTGAAATGAAACAGGTGAATCATCAAATATTAATTTCCCACTGCGACAGCCACAAGCCCTGAAAAGATGCCATAATTAAGAGGCTTCTTCTTCCCAGATGGTAGGAAATACTTTCATTATTCCAGGCCTTCTTGGTAGAAAGCTAATATCAACTCAGGATGCGGAGTGGTCTTTGATTTCAAACGTGATTCCCAGGAGCACCTTAACGTGCAGGTGCTATCAGCTTATGGCGCCTCAAGGTCGATAACAAATATGATTCTTATATTGAACGTCATGGCAAACTTCATATTGCTAAAGGAGCACTGGTAGAAAACATCTCTGGTCAAGAAGGTCATGGTTTTCACTTTTGCTCTGTCGTGTAGTTGACATGCTCTGTCATGTCAACACAGGTTGAATGTGTCTTTTGCTACTTATGGCAACTCCTGTTCTCTCTTGTGCTCACAGGACACTGACATTGAGGCATTGGTCAGGTGTTTGGAAAGCGTCCTGGCATGCAGCTCTCTAGGTGAGTTGACTTCAAATTTTCAGGTCCTGTTTATAGTATTTGATAGAGATCTCTTCATTCTGTTGAAACATTGTGTATTGTATTATGTTATTATACACTCCTAGCTATTCCTCATATTTGAAATTCCATCTCTGATATATTCATAACCAAACATGGGATGGAAGCAATTACAGAAGATAAAACAGATAGCGTGGATTACACTAAACTGAAAAGCTTCTGTACAAACAAAATTAATGTGCTAGAGGGAAGCAAATGAGAAAAAAAATCTTTGTACCCAATTTCTCTGATAAGAGTTTGTTATTTAAGGCATATAAACAAGTAAGAGATGTGTCTATTTACATCTATATCTACATCCATATCTATCTATCTGTCTGTCTATCTATCTATCTATCTATCTATCTCTCACCAAAAGTCTTTCCCTAGTAAGTGATCAAAGAATGTAAAGAGACAGTGCTCAGAAGAATTACATACTATTGACAGCCAAATGAAAGAATGGTCCATATCACTAATAATAAGAGAAATGCTCATCAAACCAACCCTGAAGTTTTACCTCACATCCTGCAAAGATGACAAAACATGGGAATAATCAATGTTGGATGAATTGAGGTAAGTTAGGCACACTGATACATTGTTGGTGGAGCTGTGAATTGCTCCGACTGTTTTGAAAAGCCATTTGGAATTATGCACATGAAATGACTATAATGCCCACATGCTTTGACCTAGAGACTCCACTACTAGGCTTACAAGCCAAGGAGGCCACTGATAAGAAAGTTCCCATATACCCCCAAAATATTATAGTATTTTTTGTGATAGAAAAGAATTTTTAAAAATTGATGCTTATGTATTGGGGAATGGCTAGTTGTGGTACATGAATGTAAACAGAATATTATTGTAATTTAAGAAAAGATGTGTGTGATGTATATAGTGTGGAGAGATCTACATGAAATTATTCAGAGGGAAGCAAGCAGAGCCAACAAAGCAGTATACATAGTGACTACAACAATATAAATGGAAGGGGCAGCTAGGTGGTGCAGTGGATAGCGCACCGGCCTTGGATTCAGGAGGACCTGAGTTCAAATCCGGCCTCAGACACGTAACGCTCACTAGCTGTGTGACTCTGGGCAAGTCACTTAATCCCATTGCCTAGCCAAAAAAAACCCCAATGTAAATGGAAAGAAAAATAAAAAATAAATCACAAGTGAATTGTTGCAAAACTACAAACAGGAAGCCTAGCTCAAAGTGTAGTCTTGAGAAGATACCTGGCCCCTCTGCAGAGGTCCACATGTGTACTACATTGCCCATATTTTCAGACTTTTTCAATGTATCGATCAGGTTTGCCAATTTTCCCCCTCCTTTTCTTTTTTCTTTTCCTGATCTTTAAAAAATATTTGTTATATGGGATGGCTCCCTGGAAGGAGAAGAGAAAGGAGGGAGAAGGGAGGAGATTACAGCAATATGAAAAAAAAGTGAGAAGACAGCAATGAAAACACTTAGGGTTTTTTTTTAAGAAACTCCATCTACTACCTCCACACAAGGTCCAAGCAGTCCCCTAAGTTTAGAATGTGCTGCCTGCTTTCCTCTACCTCAGAAGCCTTGCTTCTTTCAGGGCACAATTTGGTCTCTCTTTCATTGTGAGATCTTTCCCAACCCCCAGTTATTAGCACCCCCTCCTTCTTGAAATTACTTTGTATTGATGAGGCAGCGTGAGAGGCAGAGTGGTATACTGGGTGGAAAGTTGTACATGAAGGCAGGGAGAGCTGGGTTCAAGTCCTGTCATTCACACAGCCTGTCCACATAACTGTGGGCAGTGGGTAGGTCACTTGACTGCTCAGAGCCCTCTGGAAACTCTCCGAAACTAAAAGTTACAGAGCAGGGAGGGATGCCAAGGAAACCTCGGGTTTGCCTCTTTCTCCTCCACCCCCATCATATTCCTCTGTGTACATACTGTGTCTTCTAATCAACTGTATGTGTACTCCTTTAGTGAATGATATTTTGTCCTGTGGTATCCCCAAGCCACCTCATCATACCTGCATTGTAGGTGCTTAACACTTTTTATTCAGTTGAATGTCAGAACTGGGAGGAGCCTTAATCATCACATTATTATTCATCCCTTCTCCCTCCCCTTTTTATTTTTTTTAACAGGGGAGGAAACTAAAGTCCAGAGATTCTTGTCCAGACAGAGTTGCACAGCTCAGAGAGGGCCCTTTTATTCTTAAGTCAGCCTTATCACTTGGAGGAGGCCTGTGAAAGTCACTCTCAGATTTCCCTGTTGGACATTGTGTTGTTACCAACCCCTCCTCACCTTCTCCCTCCCCTCCTCCAAAAAGCCTAGAGTTATTGAATGTCCCACTACTCTCCCGGGGGAGAAAGTATTGAAATTTGGTGAGCTTTCATAATCCAGTGTGAGTCCTGCCTGGCCCCACAAAATAAGAGATTTTACAGGATTTCCCTAGAAGTGCAGTCTTCCTGACTCTTACATTATAAAGAAACAGATTGCTTTCATTCAAGCTGAAAAGGCCCATAACCATGAAGGTCAGTCAGTTATTGAAAGATATTAGGTCTGGAAAATAAAACTGAAATTTCTTTAGGGGTGTCAATCTCAATAAATGGAACACAGGGCTTCAAGGATAGAATCTTGTTTCTAAATTCTCTTTCCAAATAGCTTTGCTGTGATTTCCCCCTAATGCCAGATAGCAATTGTTCTGCTGCTATGGAGGTAGGAGAAGGGGATAGTCTTATGTGGGAAATGTCAGGGCCGTGACATCTCCCAAAGGTGACCGTGGACTTTTGGACATGTCCCAAAGGCATGTGCTCAGGAACAGTGGCCAGTGGAAGGAAGAGCACCCGTCGGGCTCTTATTGCCCTTTTGGTCATCATTTCTTCTCTACTTTAGTAGGTTCTTGGCTTCTCAAGGCTTTGTAGTACACGTCTCCCTCTCCAGGACCCCGTCATATTTTTGTCTCCCCTAATCTGTCCTCATTGTTCTTTAGCCACAGGTTTATGAGGGACAGCCCACTTTTGCTTCTCTAGGGTCAGGGAGACCTCAAGTGGCAAGGAAGGCTAGAAGACTATGGAAGCCAACTCTGTTTTCACTCTTTCCTGCCAACACCATCATACACATTGGGAGCACTGTTGCTTCTTAAAACATGTTCAAGGCATCTTGGTATTAATAGAGTTTCAGCCAGACTGGTCTGCTGGCTGTTCCTCAAACTGGTCATCCCTTTCCTGGCCACAACCTGTGCCACGTGCCTGAAGGACTTTCTCCTTACTCCCACCTTCTAGAATCCCTGGCTTTTTTCCCCCAACCTCTTAGCCACAAGCTACCTCCTATCGGAAGCCCTTCCTAATCTCCCTAGTTGCTAGCATTTTTTCCCTCTTCAAATAATCATCTATATTCTTCTTTGCCTTTCATGTCAGAGCCTCTGAACCCCCAACAGAATGTATACTGCAGAGGCAAGGATTCTTTCATTTTGTGTGTGTATTCCCAGCACTTAGCACAGGACCTGTCACGTGGTCGGAGCATAATAAATATTTGTTAGGTTGGGCTGAATTGGATCAGATCCCAGAACCTTAGGTACCTTAGAGATCATCTAGTCTGGAGGTATCAAACTCCAGAAGCAAATTAAAACGTATTTGAGAAATGTTGAACCAAATAAATACGAATACAACACAGATAGTGTTTATTGTGGTTTTCTAAGTCAATATTCATTTCTATTTGAATTTGACACTACTGATCAAGTCCAGCCCTCTCATTTTACAAATGAAGACATGTCGGACCAGAAGGTTTAAGTGATTTCTCTAGGGTCACAGAACTAGTTGGTGAAGGGAACTAGAACCCAGGTCTCCTGAAGCCCATGTGACTTCCGTGACACTGAAGACCTTCCTCAGCTCCCTTCTTATGTATGAGCAGAGAAGACAAGGCAGCCTAGAGTGAAAATAATCTTTCTACTCCAAAGGAAGTGTCCCTTTGGCTATGAATGGAGAAACTGAGTTGATGAGAGAGAGTACTCTCTGATATCTAAAACTTATTCATGAGGGAACATTTGAAATAGGCCCATGCTTGGGGATGGGCTGCTGGGTGGTGCCATAGTGCACAGAGCGCTAGGCTTGGAATCGTCTTCTTGAGTTCAAATCCAGCCTTGGACACTTAATAAGCTGTGTGACCTTGAGCAAGTCACTTAACCTTCTCAATTCCTCATCTGTAAAATGAGCCAGAGAAGGAAATGGTATCTTTGCCAAGAAAACTCCAAGTGGGGTCATGAAGAATCAGACATGACTGAAAATGACTGAACAGCAATTGGGGATAGGGCAGAGCTTCTTCAGATGGTGACAGGATAATGTTGGCCTATTACCTTTTGTCCTTGTATCACCCCAAAGCTTCCATGTCACTCAAGGACTCCATGAAGATGATCTAATTTCATCTTAGGGGAGCTGTGTCTCTGAAATTGCTCAGGTGTGCCGAGACTATCACATTGCTTCCCTGTAATTACATTTACTGTGAGAAGTACCGTGATATGATAATTACACAATTATAGTGGTGGTTTATTAATAATTATGGCTGTTATTATATGCCAGAATGTTAATAGGATCCAAGAGAAGATTTGAACTTAAATCAATCACGGAGCAAATGCTAGCATTAGGGAAAGAAACCTCTGCAAATGGATCTACACCTTGGATAAGAGATATGGAATTAAAATGGGCGTTTACTTTTTGAAAATGTCATATTCCTGGTTAAACTTGTATATATTTTGTATATATTTTGAATGTCTCTATATAATTATATATATGTCTATATGTAATTATATAATTCAATTATATATTTGTTATATATAATTATATATAATATATAATTATATTGAATATACATTTTGAAAAGTATAATTGAATTAAATTGAATATAATATGAAATATATAATTTGAATATCATTGCCTTCTGTGTGCAGGAATTATGTAAAGCCCTGGGGGGATATAAGGATAAAAGGGTAATAGACCCTGCCCTC